TGTCTAATGAAAAATTAAAGTCTGGTAAAGTTCCTGTCTTATTTAGGAAGAGGATAGAGATGACAAAACTTTTATTAGAAATTTTGTTAGGAATAGAAATAAAATTAGTATTTGAGCAATGGAAATTTTTATATACACCTAGTGGAAGTACAACCACTTTGGAGAGCAACTTGGCAACATGTATTTATTTATTTATTTATTTGGTGAGGAAGATCAGCCCTGAGCTAACATCCGCCAAGCCTCCTCTTTTTGCTGAGGAAGACTGGCCCTGCGCTAACATCCATGCCCATCTTCCTCCACTTTATATGGGACGCCTGCCACAGGATGGCCTGACAAGTGGTGGGTTGGTGCGTGCCCAGGATCTGAACCGGTGAACCCCGGGCTGCCGTGGCAGAGTGCACGCACTTAACCGCTTGCGCCACCGGGCCGCTCCCTGGCAACATGTATTAAAGATGAGGATGTATTTTCTCTTACTGGGAATTCCACCCCTGGGAACATGTAAAGAAACATCACAAATGTTAACACGGAGACATACAGGAATATTCATAACAGCATTAGTAATAATAGCAAAAAACCGTAAGCAACATAAATGTATATCAGCAGGATAAAAGATTAATAAATTGTGGCTTTGGAACACTGTACAGTATTAAAAAATGAATGAACCAGAATTAGAGGTATAAACATAGGTAAATCTTAAAATATACTGTTGAAATAAAAAGCAAGTTGCAGAAAGATACAGAGTATGCCATTCGTATATAGTTTTAAAATATGTTCTATGAAATATATGTTGTTTGGAATACTGACACACATAGAAAAATATAACAGCATACATGGGAATGAAAAGCACGAAAATCGAGATAACAGTTACATCTGGGGAGATGAAGCAGTTGTGGATGGGGCACCAAGAGGCTTCAACTATATTTGTACTACTTTATTTCTTAAGCTGGGTGTTGGGATAAATGAATGAATGACTGAATCTTAACTGCGAATGTCATTGTAGTCCACCTGGTATAGAGATATAACCATAATAATATCTGGAAAGATTATTTAAATTGTAACTTAACAAACTACAAGTGCTATGCTCTTGTTATGGTATTAACATCTTTCTTCCCCCCAGCTTTATTGAGGTATGACTGACAAATAAAAATCGTATATATTAAGGTGTACAATATGATGTTTGGATATATGTATACATTTTGAAATTATTATTAAAATCAAGCTGATTAACATATCCATCACTTCACATAGTTACCATCTTGTGTGTGTTTATGGTGAGAAACTTAAGATCTACTCTCAGCAAATTTCAAGTATACAATATATTATTATTAACTATAGTTACCATGCTACACATTAGGTCTCAGAACTTACTCATCATATAACTGAAAGTTTGTACTGTTTGACAAATATGTATTAATTTCTCATTCCTCCTGTCCTCTGGAAACTAGTGAAGGCCTTCTCCAGATGTATCAAATTAAAATGTTTCTGTTTCAATCTGTTCTGGATTTTTCTTCTGTCAGAATCCTGGTTCTGCCTTGTTTGCTGATCCAATCTGTATGTCCCAGACCAGACAGCTCAAATGGTCACTTCCCCAGTGTCTTACTCCTCAGGAGGAGAGACACTCTCTGACATCATGCCACTGCACCTCTCCATTCTCTTTTCTGCTCCATAATCAGCCCCGGCGGTTCCAGTGGAGGAGAGAGGCAAAATTATCCCCTTTAATTTTTGGCAGAAAGAACAACTTCTATGGATTAAGAGTAAACACAGAAACACAAAAACTCACCAGTCCAGTTATTAAAGAGCTGTTCTCCTTCCCAGTGGGCAGAGAATTCTTAAGAATTCTCATATAACTGAAATGTGGGCTTTGAAGCACTTCCATTTTCTTTCAAACATCAGTCCCTCTGGGTGAGGTTTAACTCATACTTATTGCCATATTGTCTACTCACACCGCAGCCCAGTTGATTCAAGTTCCTGAGCTCTTAAGCAGTTCCCTTAGTAGCAGATGAATCTCTGTATGCTTGTCCAAAATACTAGTTTCCCTTTAGTAGAGACCTTGGACTCTGAGGTTTTCTTGACCACTCTTCTTCACTGCCTCAATCCCTGGTTACTTCTGCAACTATGGTGGGATGGTATTTTGAAATATCAAACAGCATCTCTCTCTGCCCATTTCTTATTACATTAAACTACTTCAAGAAGGAAATTACATGTTCAGTAGAGATTGACCTTAATTATGTGAACTTAGATTCTTAAAATATTTCTGAGTTAGTTTCTATAAGAATAATATATTTTTATTTTAAGTATATCACATTTAAAGTATTTCTATTTCTTTGTTTTCATGTAACTATATAAGTGCTTATTTATCTCTACAGGCAATCAGAAAAGAGCTCCTTTAATAAAATAAACTTTATAATTTAATTTGTTAATACCTTCCAGATATAGGACATCTCATACTCACATAATGAGACGTAAAAACCTTTATGAATAAGAGACACATAGACCCACAGGCACAGGGAAGTTTATGGCTTTGATTCTACAATTTCTACAATTTCTGCCATGGGTCAAGAGTAAACACAGAAACATAAAACAAAAACTCACTAGTCTAGATATCGAAGAGCTGTTCTTCCCAGGGGACATAGAATTCTTGAGTTGAGCTCAAAATGGACAAAGAGACAAACAAATAAGACTAACAAACCAGATTCTCTGTTGTCTCTCACTCAACAGAAAACAGATCTCTGTAAGTCATTAATCCTTTTACAGAGATCAACAAATGGTCAGCCCATATGACCAAATTCCCGATCATTGCTGCCACCAGAAGGAAAAAATTTATTGGCCATATACAAACCAAAACAAAACACAAAATTGGTGGAGAAGACAACTTAAATGAGGAAAACAGAGGCTTAAAAAATCCTATTGTGCTTCAGATTCACCTCTGGGAGCAAGAAAAAAAGGACCTAGATTTAGTGATCCACGAGGTGCACTCCTCTGGTGATGAAGTTCATCGGGCTGTCAGATGAATACATTAGGCATCTCCGTGGGAATAGCAAAACCATTAAAGGATAATTCTCAAAAAAAAAAAAAAAGTAAAATCATACAAAATAGTTTTCTTTGACTCATTAAATAAGGGAACCAGAGAGATGTTACAATCTGTTCAAGGAGAATCCGAAAAGCAGACACTTCACAGATCAGGAATGTTGAACTTGCAAATAGATGCAAAACTGGCTTTTTCTACAGAGGAGAGTTCTCCCTCCATTGGATAGAATTCATTCACATGTCCAAAGACAAGAACATTTGCATTACCAGCAGAATTCTAAAAAAGTCTAATCCAAGATAAAGGTGAATATCTTTTAGGATCAAATAATCCCCCAAACTCTAGCATTCCATTGAAAGGATATCCATTAATCTCTTTTGCTTATTTCAGAGTGCTACATTTCTCCCTACACATCAAAAACCAGAGTTTATAGAGTGTACTAGAGGGAGAAGGTTCCGTTCATTCACAGGTCTTCTCTAATTCTGGCCCAGTGTTAACCATCCATTCAAAAATGTTTTATCTACCATCCATTGTGTACTTCGCACTTGGTCAGGTAAATTTTGAAAATAATGGATCGTGGCCTTTGCTCACAAGGTACTTACAATCTCATTATGGAGATAAGACATACTGACAAGAAACTACTAGTCAATAAATTTAATAGACTGCAAAATTATGAGTACAATTAGAAAATTGGGCAGTATAAAACGGAAATACACTCGATCCTCATTATTGGTGGATTCCATATTTGCGAATTTGCCTGTTCACTAAAATTTATCTGTAACACCAAAACCAATACTTGCAGTGCTTTGCAGTCATTCATGGACACATGCAAGAGGGGTGAAAAATGTAGTTGTCCAAGGTGCATGTTCCCAGCTGAGGTCAAAGGAGGCAAAGCTCTAGCCTCTTGTTTCAGCTCTCACGCTGGACACGAGTGTCCTCTTCACGGTCCCTTCAGTGGCACGTTTTTCACATTTTTTGATTTTGTGGTTGATTTTGTTGTTTAAAATGGCCCTCAACCTTAATCTTAAGTGTTGTCTAGTGTTCCTAAGTGCAAGAAATCTGTGATGTGCCTTATGGAGAAAATACACATGTTCCATAAGCTTCAGTCAGGCATGAGTTACAGTGCTATGGGCCATGAATTCAATGTTAATGAATCAAAAGCCTACATTAAAGTGTCTTTAAACAGAAACACATATAAAACAAGGTTGTGTATTGATTAGGTGACTAAAATGTTGTGACCAGAACCTAACTCTGTATTTCCCCTAGGAGCAATGGTTCAGTATTCACTAATGCAGTAACTTTATAGAACATCGCTACCTCAAATAACGAGAATCAACTACGTATATTTATACTGAAAGAAAAAGTTTTTCAAATGCGTCTGATTCCTCATTGACACAAGAGAAAAAAGGAAAACCCATTCCAAGAAATTACTCCACTGCTCTCCCAAAGAACTTATAAAAGCTGTGATCCTGCCTTCCATTATCTTTTTCCCCTCTTCTCCCTCCACTTTATTCTTCCTCAGCTCTCCCTCGTTCTCTCTCTGTCTCTTGGAGGGGTCTCCATTTAAATAATGTTTTTCAAGAATCTGGAGTCCTATACTAAATTTGATAAAGGTGGACACTCAAGACACACACGTACATTTAAAAGTGAGCTCCGTGGATGTGTTCCGGCAAAATTAATTGCAAAAATCCTTGGTACCACAGTTCTATGGGAACCCATGCACCTTTCGAATCCCAAGGTCATTATAAAAATACGCTCAAGTTTTTTTTCTTCTTAGCTCTCAAACAGTAACCGCACGGTACCCGCCCACACATAGGCCTTAATAACGCTTTTTCAGCCTTTAGTTTGTTTATTTCTGTTTCTTTAAGACAGATGTCGGGCGTTTTGCCCTATTCCGAAATGGCTGCCCATGCTTCCCACGCTCTGCGCATGCTTCTTGAACGCAATTCAGAGTTGAGGCAATTCGTGACTTTCGCGGCGCAAGATGGGGACTTGGCGGCGCGCGCGACTGAACCTCCCAGCATGCCTTGCAGCCGGGCCCGGAGTGCCGACGTCTAGTGATGGGGAGCCTCTGGTGCTTTCAGCCGCCAAATCGGACGTAGAGGTTGAGGTTGAACACGGGGCTTGAGAACTGGACGCCTGCAGAGGGGAAGATGGAAGCTTGGCGCTGTGTGAGGAGGGGCTACGGCCGCTGTGTGGTGGGGAGAGGCCGGTCAGTAGGGCTGGGTGGCGGGAGGGAGGAGGAAGGGGCGGGCGCGGGCGGCCCGGGTTAACTCGGGGCGGGGCGGGCTGTGGCTGGGTGGGAGGACGGAGGAGGAAGAGGGTCGGGGCGGTGGTGCGGCCGGGACGAGCCTCTGGAGAGCCTGAGGGATAGGTAAAGCCGGCGCGCAGCCGGCGGGACGCTGGGTCCAGGAGGTTCGGGGCCCGGGCGCGGAGCATATCGGCCGCCCGCCAGGCTCGTGCCTTCCCGACCAGGCTTGGCCGTGGAGCCCGGCCCGCTTGCCCCAAATCCAGCTTCCAAGCCAACCTGAGCCTCCCGGCCTCGCAGCACCCTCCAGGGGCTGACCGTCTGCGGGGAGGCCGCCTGTCCGCAGTAGGTCCCGGGGCGGCCTGACCTGGAGGGAGGCGCGCGTGGTGCACACAAGCCCAGGGGTTTGTTGTTTGTTGGTGTGTTAGTGTCTCTCAAACTCTAGTCACTTGTATACCAACCTCTATGATTATTATCAAATTCTTGTTCCACCTCTGCATTGCTTACTGGATATTTTGAAATTGACTTTATTTAAAAGTCAATTTAAAAATCCACTTTAGCAGATGCTGCTTACATTAGCGTCGCCCTAAGCAGTATCCGCGAGATCTTGGGTTTGATGTACTGATTATGGTTTTTTTTCCTAATACACTTTAAGATAAACACTTAGATATTAAAAATCAATATGTTTAATTGTGTGCCATATGAAACCGACTCGTGTACCACACATGGGAAGCACAGCACTGTATTAATTATTACATAAGTTATGGGGGGTCTAGTGTTAACTCCTATAGCCCTGGGACTTGATGACAATTCAGTTCAACATTGTTTTCCTGAGTACCAGCTGTGTGCCAGGCATTGTGCTAGGCACTTGGGAAGAGACCAGGATTAAACTGAATAAGAAAGCTCTGGCCTCGAAGGAGCTCATCATAAGAAATAAAGACGTCTATAGGGGCGGCCCCGTGGCTTGGCGGTTGGGTGCGCGCGCTCTGCTGCTGGCGGCCCGGGTTCGGATCCCGGGCTCGCACCAACGCACCACTTCTCCAGCCATGCTGAGGCCGCGTCCCACATGCAGCAACTAGAAGGATGTGCAGCTGTGACATACAGCTATCTACTGGGGCTTTGGGGGGAATAAATAAATAAATAAATAAATAAATAAATAAATAAATAAATAAATAAATAAAATTAAAAAAAAAGACGTCTATATAAGTTAACTACGAATATAGAGAATAAGTTTTGTAGTACAAGTGTTATATTTCAATAGGGTAGCTTATTAGCATAGAAAATGAATGGAGCAAGTGCCCAAATCTCTATGGCTTTCAGAGTTGTCACAAAGCAGGATAGTCTGCCCATGTCATGTCTTTAAAGATTTACAATTAAGTTGAATTTAGAGAACAATTTGAGACTGCATAAGCTGCAAAAATATATAGTAAAAAATTTAAATGCTGTTAAAATGAAAAGAACATATAAAAGTCAAATAATACTAAGTACAGTTTAACCAAAGTTCCTTTAGAGATAGAAGTGGACATTATTGACACTCTTGGAAATGTACCTTTGATTAATTCTGGAGAAAAGGATAAAAGTCATTCTCTGAATCCTAACATTTTGCCAGTATAGGGTAGTAAGAACAAGGTGGTGCTTGAGTTGCATTGTTTCTTAAGAGAGCCTGAGAGCAGCATATCTATTCAAAATAATGTTAACACTACTCTGGAGATATTTTAGATGGTAGGTTAAATTGGTGCTGTTGGATTTGGAGTATTGATTAAGTAAGTAAGTAAGTAAGTAATCTCTGTCCTCTTTCATTTCCCTCAAGGAGAAACATACTTTTAAAAAAAAGAAGAATGGAAAAATAAATTATCCACCCACTGACTAGCAAGAGAGATAGTTGTGAAGTTGTGATAGGCTTTTGTCTTCTTAGCTATAGAGATGCTTGGAAAATATAACCCTGGTATAAAAGACTGCAGAAACCTGTTTTTACTCCAAACCCAAGTTGGAGGATTCACTTGAATTATAGTCAGCTTATGTGTTCTATATTTGATTTAAGTATTTTGTTTGCTGTGGATTTTATTTGTCCAGTGAGTTTTATTAGATGCTAGAAAGCTACTCTGAATACCAGTTTGATGGTTGATTGATCTCTCAGTTGACCGTGGGCTTTTTGACATGTATATGGTGTTTTGGGAGCCTGGTGGATTCTATGTTAAGTGTTAAGATACCATTCATAGTTGTTTAGAGATATTGAGATATTGCTACTAGTAGTTAAATCATGGCTGCTCCCTTCCCCATTCTTCACAGATTTAGAAGTAAGATTTTGAGTATTAGACATTATCTTCCCTTGAGGAAACAGATTTAGGTTTTGTGTACTGTAGTGGAACAAAAAGTGGTACCTCAAGGAGTGTATTTATTTCTTTTAGATACCCCATGTTACCCCACCACCAGAAGAGTCTGGGCAGAGACTGGACTACACCGTGGGAGAATCTGCAAAGGTGTTGCTGGAACAGACATATTTCTAGTTGTATGAGGTGGCCTGGACATTACTCTCGTGCTCCTTACCCGTACTTCAGTAGTAGGCATTTTTCACTAAATTGGAGACCATCTTATTTGTTTGAGTCTAGAACTCAGTTTCAGTACTGGAACTGGAGACCTGACAACCTGAGCCAGACATCTTTGATTCATCTCTCTAGTTACATCATGAACTCTGAGGGAGATGAGCCTTCATCAAAACGAAGAAAACACCAAGGTAAAGGTAACATTTATCTTGGTGCAGAAATAGACATAAGCCGTAGACTAAGGTGAAACTTTCATTTCTAATCCTTAAGAAAATCTCATGCAGATTTTAAAGGTGTTTGGTGTTTGTTTTTAGCTAAAGTTTTCTGGCTAAAGTTTTCCAGCCCTTTCGGTCTAGTGGTTAAGATTTGGCACTCTCAGTGCTGTGGCCTGGGTTCGTTTCCTGGTCAGGGAACCACACCACTTGTCTGTCGGTTGTCATACTGTGGCAGCTCCGTGTTGCTGTGATGCTAGAAGCTCTGCCACCGGTATTTCACATACCAGCAGGGTCACCCATGGTGGACAGGTTTCACCGGAGCTTCCAGACTAAGACAGACTAGGAAGAAGCACCTGGCCACTCACTTCTGAAAAAGTTGGCCATGAAAACCCTATGAATAGCAGCGGAGTATTGTCTAATATAGCACCTGGAAGATGAGAGGATGGCGCAAAAAGACCCCCTGCTATACGGCATTCCTGGGAGTCAGGATTGACTCAAATAGCACCAACAAGTTTTCTGTTAGGAAAAAATAAATTCTTTTTTTAAGTGAATGCTTTATTTTTTTGTCTTCTATTAATTGTGTATTTCTGACAGTGAAAATAGAAATGACTCTACATATAGAATAAGGTTGGAAAAGAATGGAGGAATAGATTAAAATGGTAGGTTTAATTTAAGAATAATTTTCAAATCCAGGGTTTTGGGAACAAAGGTCTTTAGACTTCCAAGAAATTGGTGAATGTATTCTTGGGAGTCCATAGATCTATAAAAAAAATTAAATTTCCTGTTCTCATTTTTAATGCTAACTTTTTTATGTAAAATGAAAGGACTTTTAAGTAGAAACAATCATAAATGAAAGATTTTTTTTATATAGAATAAGATTTTAGCTTATTAAATCTGTGTTTCCCATACTGGAATCTATAGATGTAATCTTGAGAATCTGTGGGAAGTTTTATCTTTTAAAAAGGGAACCACATCTTACTCGACTTTGAGAAATGATTTTTTCTACATATGTTGATTGTTTCAATTTTTCTCATATTCTTTTTACTCTAAACAATTTACTAGACTCCCTCTGTGCTGCCAGCTCTGTCCCCCACCTCCAAAGTATACATGAATTATCTAAGTAGAATTTGGAATTGTCTTTCTTACTCAGCTATAGTTTTCAGTGAAGATAATTCCTCAGACGATATTTCAAAATAGGCCTTGTGGATGTTACTGTGTAGGGAGCTGACCTAAGTTTGTCAAAGGAAGACATTCAGAGTGAGTCTCACCTGGAAGTCAGAGCTAGAAGATTAACCAAAAAGTTAGTTAGTTAGTGTGCTTTTATGTAGAAATTCTACTACATGTTTGAGTATAAATTCTAAGCACTCAGAAGTGGAAATCTATTTGTATAGTATTTAACCACAGCATGTGTTTATAAACAAATATTTGTTTGAATGAATGAAAGGTATATTTAGAGGCATTAAAATTAGGTTCCTAAGAACAATCCATAATCTGTAAATCTAGGGCTATATGATGACATGAGATTGCTTTTCATTCACGTATTCACATTGTTCATCAGGTCAGCACGCTGCTCTTTTCTTGAGCCTTTTCTAACTGGTGTGCTGTCAGGAGGAGCTGTGGCATGGTGACATAAGCATGGGCTTAGGAACCGCTCCCTGCTCTCATTCTGCTCTACCACTAATCGTGTGAACTTGGACTGGTTACTGAACCTCTCTCCTCCTTGGTTTCCTGGTTTAAAATAATGCCTACTTTGAAAGCCTGTTGAGGATGAAATGAGACATGTCAAAGTGCCTAACACACTGTTGGCTTCATAGTAGGTACTCGGAAAATTGTAGTGTTGTTGTTTTCCCTTTAATGGATGGGGAATTACATTTACATACTGATAAACTTTGATTGCAACCTGACTCTTTATATGTCCATTCTTCCTAGGTATTGTGAATAAGGAAAATGCTCTTCGTTAAGCCATATTTGTGACTTCTGATATTTCACTAATCCTTTTCAATCAAGAGAACAGCATTGCTAACTTGCCTATCACTTTAAAGTGGTATTTGAAGGATTTGTGTGACACAATTATGACTTTTTAATTAGGCACCCTAAAAACCTGATCAGGCCTATTGCTTACTTTCTTTGATTCATCTGTCTTCTCTGCTGTGATCACCTTGTTCCTCCTGACATGGAAGGTATATAAGCTTTTGTAGTGTGAATTTATGTTGTGAAGTATATGAAGGCCAAAGACTATCCACTCCATCAGTAGTTTTCAAATTGTCTTCCATGGAACCCTAGCTTTCGAACACATTTCTGTATGTTTATTAAAAGCAGGATAAATGTGTTTGCCCCATCATCCCAGCCCCAGTCCCAACATACCAGAGATTGATGTTCTCTGGTAATGTTGAAGGGTTGTATAAGCTCTAGAAATTTGGAAGCCACTGCGTTAATTAGATAATCTGATGGTCTTGGTTATTTAAAAAATGGAATTGCAAAGAATTGGCTTAACAAACGCTTAATTGCTAGAACTACAAAAATCTTAAAGTGTTTATATGCCTTTACTTATACATATTTTACAAGAAAATAAGAACAAGTTTTTTAGACTTTTCATCTTTCTTATTTTAATGTGCTGGTGACACCAGCACATTAAAACTTTATATATAACTTTGTGACAATAGGTTACATTTTGTTTGCATGACTAGAGCCCTTTTCATCTCCTATATGTGTGAAGACTTTATGATTTGTGGCTAAAACCATTATAGGCAGTCCCCAATTTATGAATGAACTGTGTTCTAGATAATCACTTGTTGAGAATCGGTTCTGTTTTCCCCATAGAAACTACGTTATAAATCTCAAAGGAGCTCTTCTGAGCTGGTACAGTTAGCCTTAGTTCTGGGCCTTTGAGAATAGAATTCTCCATATTCAGGGAAGAACTGGTAAGGAGATAGTTTCCTTCCCTTTCCCGGGCACAGGACAAGCTCTAGGATAAATTCTGTAATAGTTGAAGGCTTTAGTTTGGTTTTCTTTCCTTCTACTTTTTTTCTTTACCCTTCACCTCAGGCTCCTAGTACCTTCATGGTATCATGTCTCCAACTCCCTTGTTCCACTCAGACTTCACTATTCATAAAAGTTATCTTCCTCTTCCATCCTTTGGCCAAAATTTCTATTCCTTCAGTGCAGCAGATACGGGTATTTAGATTTTGAGGAAAGCAGTCTAATTAAACTCCTTTACCAGAGGGTATTTTTCAATTTTTACTTCATTGGCATTTTTGTAGAGTGTGTTGGTATTCTGATTGTAAATATATCGTCATTGTAGAAGATTTGGAACAATCTTCCACAATCTTACCACTCAGAGATAACTACTCTTAAAAATTCTGGTGTATTTCCTTTTAGTCTGTTTTTCTGCTGTGTACAGAATATTTTTCCTCCATTTAATTTTTAGTTGGCAAAATTTTAGCCATTGTAATCCAGTGAAGTGAAAACCGTCATGCAGGAAAAAGGAGAGAGTCTAGAGCTGAGATTCTTCGTGTAATCTAATCATGCTGGGAAGTCCACCTCTAAGTCTGTTTTCCCGAGTTCTTCCCACTTCTTGTTTTCTCCTTCGTTTGAGCTCATAGATTCTCTAAAATTTCCACATTTTTCTTCATGGCTTCCATGGCAGTTAAGGGTATTTATCTTCTTAAATGGTGGGGTGAGGTAGACAAAGTTAAAGGTGAATATATATGGTGGTCATTTCTAAGTCGAGGACTGCCTATAATTGCAAAATCTCATGCTTTTCGATTCTCTTTTCATCACTTTTTCAGGGTACATGATGTCTTTGCTGAATATAAACTATCACACATGCCTGGTTGCTGCATGCTAGGTTTGTCAACCAGCCATTATCATTTACTAGCATTCTGTAACTATGTTACATTTAACTTTTGCTTCGGTGTGCATTAAAAAGATTTATTTTGTTCATTTTGTTGGCATTGTTCCACTTTAGTGTTTGAGACACTAAATACTGCTTCATATATTGCCATTATACATACTTCATTCATGTCTAAACCAGAATTCTGAGATGAGTTGTTTCTGGAACTTCGTTAATCAACTGATGATCTTATCTTATTAATACAGAATAAAGTATGATGTGAAGTCATCTTATTGAAAAGCCAACTGTGACATACAAATATATTATTATGGCTATAAAGTTGCTAAGCGTGTCAGTGGCAGAGCTGCTGCTTAACCATCAAGAAATGAAAACCACAGCTCCTGTATAGTCTCAGCTTTATTAACACACACTCCCAGCCTCCAGAATGACTTGCTAGATCTTTTTAAACCTGTTTTGTACCTCTTGGTCGGTCAATATATTATTTTACTTTGTAATCAGTTTGCTGACAACTTCTAGTTAACAGTGCTACATTGCCATTTCCTAGGGAAAAACATTTTGTTGATGGCCTATGGGAATTTTTAAAGGCAAGAAAATATTTATGTACAGGAAAATATATGGTCTGTTTTTATTAATTTATATTTTGTCCAATATATTTTAATAGGCACGATAACACGACATTGGGAATATATATGTAACCATAATAAAGAAAAAACGAAGATCCTAGGAGACAATGATGTTGACTCCAAATGTGAAGATAGTGAGAACAAGTTTGACTTTTCAGTGATGTCCTATAATATACTTTCACAAGATTTATTGGAAGACAATTCACACCTCTATAGACACTGCCGGCGGCCAGTATTACACTGGAGTTTTAGGTTTCCCAATATTCTGAAAGAAATTAAACACTTTGATGCAGATGTAAGTGCAAAATATCATCAGAGTTCTTCACACAAGAAAAAGTTGGGTTAAATGGTTCATTTGTAAACTAAATGGTTTTATCCCTTTTGTTTGTGGGGTAAGAAGGGAAGATGTTTACATATAGTGATGGAACAGTTTTTAACAAGGTATCGTGACTTCCAAAGAGTCATTTGCTAATGGTTGTTGCTATAAATAATCATCTAACTTTTCAAAAAAGATCCAAAAAGTTTTAAGTATTGGTCAGTTTTAAGACAGGGCCTGGCAACATATTAAGTATTCAATAAATATTTCATAAATATTTCTTTTGATTTGAAATTTAAATCATGCAAAAATTAATCTAGATGATGGCATTCAAAGAAATCACCTCTTAAGAAAAGACTAGAAAGATTTAGTACTAATGACCATGTAAATTCAGGAAAAATATCCTGACATGTAAATTAAAATTATTTCTTTTCGGAAATACCAGTTTCGGATAGTAAGAGAGCTTCATGTGCTTAAAGAAAGGCCAGGGTTGGGCCAGCCCTGTGGCTTAGCAGTTGAGTGCGTGCGCTCTGCTACTGGCGGCCCAGGTTTGGATCTCGGGTACTCACTGACGCACCACTTCTCTGGCCATGCTGAGGCTGCGTCCCACATACAGCAACTAGCAGGATGTGCAACTATGACATACAACTATCTACTGGGGCTTTGGGGGAAGAAAAAGGAGAAAGATTGGCAATAGATGTTAGCTCAGAGCCGGTCTTCCTCAGCAAAAAAAAAGAGGAGGATTAGCATGGATGTTAGGTGAGGGCTGATCTTCCTCACAAAAAAAAAAAAAAAAGGCCAGGGTTTTGAGAACTGATCAGATTTGGAAACAGTAATTGGATAGATCTATAAATTACAAAAGAAAGAATTATGTGTTTTATTTCAACTTTCATCAGGTTTTTAGAATTTTAGAAGCCTGTTTTTAAAATTGAAAGCACCAGAAAGTTCATATTTGCATCTCTTTGTTTTAATTCAAGCCATTTTTTTCTTCTAAGGTACTTTGTTTGCAAGAAGTTCAAGAAGATCATTATGGAACAGAGATCAGGCCAAGTTTGGAATCATTGGGTACAATGTAACTTTTATTTTAGCCAAATTTACTTCTTTAAGATTTGTGTGTTGTTAAAGCATAACTTGCTAACAAAGATGTGTGGCATATTGGGGCCAAAAATCTTAATTTTGAAAAAACCTAATACTCATTTCAAAAAGACAGGAAAAGATTGAGATATTTCAAGTGGAAACTTTTGTGTTGATATATAATTTTAATTCAAACGGAAAGATGTGTAAGAATCTCTTAACTTCCTTTTCAGGACTTGCTCTGCCCAGCACCAGACCCCTAAGTTTCTGAGTTCTGTGAAATCAGGGACCATTCTGTCTAGTTCATCATTATAACACAAGTGTCTACCAGTGCCTAATGGATAGAAGCTAAAAACTTGTTTGATGAATAAACACTTCAAGAAACAGGTCATCCGTTTGAGAAATGCTGCCTACTTTGCATTCATTCATTCAGCATATATTTTTGGAGTGCTTACTGTACGTCATGCACTGTTCTAGGCAGTGGGAATATAGCAGTGAACAAAAAAAATTCTCTGCTCTTGTGGAGCGTACATTCTAGTGGAGAAAGGCCGACAATAAACCAAATAAATAAGTGAATAGCACATTACGGGCTGGCCCTGTGGCATAGCGGTTAAGTGTGCACACCCTGCTGCTGGCGGCCTGGGTTTGGATCCCGGGCACACACCGACACACCGCTTGTCAGGCCATGCTGTGGCAGCGTCCCACATAAAGTGGAGGGAAAAGCTAGAGGCAAAAAGGTCAGAGAAATGGGGTAGGGGAGAGAGGGGGTAGATTATTATAAGGCCTTACTGTCTGTGTGTGACTCTGACTTTTACTAGGATGGAAATGAGAGTATTATAATACACATTAGCATATTTAAAACTGAAGTCTGCCAGTAAAGAGACGTATTAGACCCAGTCCCAAACTTTTTTGATTCTAACAGTTATTAACATCCTACATTACTAATGTTTTGCAGAATACGCTTTGGTAAACATTGTTCAAAAATATTAGGAGAGCTGTGTTTTGCCATATATATATATGACAGTCCCTTGTTTTAAATTTCCATCTTTCTTATAGGTTATCACTGTGAATACAAGATGCGGACAGGAAGGAAACCTGATGGCTGTGCCATTTGCTTCAAACACTCCAAATTTTCACTCTTATCAGTGAACCCAGTGGAATTCTACCGCCCTGATGTTCCACTGTTGGACAGAGACAATGTTGGATTAGTGTTACTCTTGCAGCCCAGAATTCCAAGCACTGCCTCTCCTGCGATCTGCGTGGCTAACACACATCTGTTGTATAATCCAAGACGAGGTGATATTAAGCTGACCCAGTTGGCAATGCTCCTGGCAGAGATTTCCAGTGTTGCCCATCAGAAAGATGGCAGTTTCTGCCCTATTGTTATGTGTGGTGACTTTAATTCTGTTCCTGGTTCTCCACTCTATAGCTTTATAAAGGAAGGAAAATTGAATTATGAAGGACTTGCCATAGGAAAGGTAAGTACTCGCTTCATCGTCATTAGGAGGCAGTCTTAGTAGCTCAGTTTGTTGTAATGTGAGGATAGTCATCACAGGGCTAGTTGAAAACCATGCATGATCCACTACCCTCACTTTACCAAGCTGTGATGATTTTCCACAACTGCTAATAAGTAATTATATTCACTTGGTTGAATTTCATCTTTTCCATCTATTCGTGACAACATTCTGTTTGAAGGAATTGGCAGGCAGCAAAAAATCCAAAATGGACGAGAAGAAGAAAAATAAAAGCATTGACAGACATGAATACTTCATAAACAAGGAACTACTCACAAGATGGTAGAATAGAATTTTGAATGCTGAATGTGGGCAATACAGTTGGCAAAACAGTAATTTACTATTTCTTTATTACATACCTTTTCCTTTACATAATGATAAATATTTTAATTCTTTAGCTGAGTATAATTTATCCCATGTTTTTATTTTCATTGTGCTTTCTTCTGCTTACTTTAGATCATTTCATCTTCAGTATTTTTAGCCAAAATACGCTCTCGACCACTGAGTTTCGAGTGGTAGTTTAAAATTTTGTAAAAGTTGATCTTTCATAGTATTTTTTATAATAGGAGCTATATTGCAGGTAGCAAGAAAGGAGGGGCAGTGTTAGTCCAAAGCTATAGATCATTTAGATGTCCAAATTAGAGAAAAACATGTATAGGAACAGATTGCCATTTTCATGTAAATAATAAGTGCTTTCTGAACTGAATTTGAAGAAGATTTTATAAGCACAAATAATCCCTTAATATAATGAATAAAGGATAGTATTTACCATTCTTGGATTCCCTTTTATTTAAGATATAAACTTTTCAATACATAAACTAATTAGAATCTATTCACTTAAGATACCTGTTGAAATTTTGTTTAGGTATCTGGCCAGGAACAGTCTTCACGGGGACAAAGAATTTTATCTATTCCAATTTGGCCCCCAAACCTAGGTATCTCACAGAACTGTGTGTATGAGGTACAGCAGGTACCAAAAGTAGAAAAGACAGGTAAGTGTTTGCAATACCTTTTGGCAGTCTTCTTGATAATAGTGTTCCCTTTGAAGACATACAACTAAATTTTTAAAGGAGTAACATCTCAGGGATGAATGCTCTTGTATAAAAACATATAGTTGTTTGCTTATTCCTTTTTTTAAAGAGCTCTAAATTTACCTGAAGTTGAACTTCCAAAATTATCTTTGCATGAATTACTTGCATGTTGCTTTGAAAATGTTTGCATCTTATTTTTGCTAATTCCGGAGACCATCAAAATATATAGATTCCAGGATGAAACATTTAGCTAGGCATCTGTCTAAACTAGATATGTCTTAAATATTGTTCCTAGAGTAAGAGAACTATACTGAGACAAACTAGAACAAAACAATATATTGATAGTATTAATATATTTCTCTTTGTTCTTATAGACAGTGATCCAACGCAGACACAGCTGGACAAAACAGAGGTCCTAGTGACAGCTGAAAAGTGAGTTCTGGAAAGCAACAGTAGACATTTGCTGGCTTTAGTTGAGTGAAAAAATCATTTCTCAACAATTACTTGGCTAAACAATGAAGACAGTGATAGTCCATGCTGGTGAAGCATACTGGCTCTTAAGTCAAATAGACCTGAGTTCTAATCCTGACTTTGCTGCTTTGTAGCTGTGTGATTTTGAGCAAGAAACTTAACATCTCTGAGGTTCAGTTTCCTTATCTGTAATTTGGGTTGTTATGAGGATTAGATGAGACAAGGCGTGTAAAGCTCGATGTTTGGCACATAGTGAGTGCTTAAGCAATGTTATTTAAAGGGAACGTGTCTGTGGATGTGGGCCAGCTAGTACTCTTTGAAATTTATTGCTATTACATATTTAAACAAAGGTCAAGATCACAGAAAAATATCTTTTAGATTTCAGAAGGATCGTTAGCCTCCTTTGACTTACTAGACCTCAAAACAATCGATAGGAGAATTGATCCAAAAAAGATATGCCGGGGGAAAAGATAATTATTTATACTTATGTCTTGAACTACAGGAAAAGGTCGTCAGAGGTAGAGGGATGCAGATGCCTAGATTCCTTATTATTAAAGAAGTATGAATGTTTGGGGCTAAGGTTGACAAACAGATGTATGTTAATACAACAAGATGGAAACTTAAATCCTGTCTCTTTGAGAGATTCTTGAAGTGTCCTGATTGTTTTATATTGTGGCTCTTTTATAGTTTTGGTTTTTAACATTTAAAGTTAGGAACCATGGGCCAGCCCCGTGGCTTAGCGGTTAAGTGCGCGCACTCCGCTGCTGGCGGCCCGGGTTCGGATCCCGGGCGCGCACCAACGCACTGCTTCTCCGGCCATGCTGAGGCCGTGTCCCACATACAGCAACTAGAAGGATGTGCAGCTATGACAAACAACTGTCTACTGGGGCTTTGGGGGAAAAAATAAATAAATAAAATTAAAAAAAATAAATAAATAAAATAAAGTTAGGGACCAAATTAGAATCTTCTCTCATTCATTTTATCTACTTCTCAGTCTTATCTTGTTTTGAGAAAATGTTGTCTCATATAAAAGAGCCTAGTAAGAAAGGAAGCAATTGTTTTGAATTTTTAAAAAAGAATACTTAAAAATTTATAATTAAACCTTTGAAATATAGTAAAAACTTCCCTGAGTAAGATTAATAAAAAGGCTAATCTGGGGCCAGCCAGCGGTTAAGTTCGTGCGCCCTGCTTTGGCAGCCTGGGGTCGCAGGTTTGGATCCCAGGCGTGGACCAACACACCACTCATCAAGCCATGCTGTGGCGGCAACCCATGTAAAGCAGAGGAAGATGGGCACGGATGTTAGCACAGAGCCAATCTTCCTCAGCAAGAAAGAAGAGGATTGGCAACGGATGTTAGCCCAGGGCCAATCTTCCTCAGCAAAAAGAGGGGGATTGGCAACGGATGTTAGCTCAGGGCTGGTCTTCCTCACACACACACAAAAAAGGCTAATCTGATTAACACACAGTTTTGAGTAATTCTAAAATCTTTTCATAGCAATATGAGGTATAAGAAAAGATACTTTTAAGTATCTAAATACAGTGTGTTTATATGCATAGTTGATATCTGGAAAGTTGATAGTAAGATAACAGTTTGCAGGAGACCTATTTTACATTTAATAATATTGTAAATATAAGTCCTTAGACATAAAAAGTTGCTAAAACTTGGAAGTAAGGGCATTTTGAAGGAATTACCTTTGTTCATTGACATGTGAGCTCTTTAAAAGCAGAGCAACATCTTTATCTGTGTATTCTCGGCTCCTAAGGTAGTGCCTGGAACTTAGTAGATGTTTGGTAACTGTTGGATGAATTAAAAAAATTTCTTTCTAATTTTGTTTTCTTTCATGACATAGAGGATCATTAACATTCATGATGTATTAATAGGAAATTATTTTTAAACCTTTACCCATAACATCACATGTATTTGTAGTGTGTGGTGAGTGTAAACCATTATAGAAGCTATTTTAAGATGCATGCAAAATTATCTCAAATATCATAGCAAGAATGATTGTAGAAAAATATGGCCCCTTTGACATCAAAAGTATGGTGGGTTCTAGATAGCAGTCCTGAAAGCAACTTTGATTTTCTTTCTTAAAAACACACAAAAAAAATTTATAAATTGTTTTAGAATACATGTTCAGTAGTAAATGGAGGCTTTCAAAAATGTTATAATTAATAAAAAATCACATTGGTATGTTAATTATTGAGCTTTTTTTCCCCCCATGTATCACAGCCTTGTTAATGGGTTTTATATATAACCACATGAATAAATGAATGCCAAATTGTGACATGATCTATTTAAATAAAGTTTGTCTTAATGTCTGGCTTTGTCTGGAAAGTAAATGAAAAAGTGCTTTCAATAGGAGGAATTATAAAAATCATGAAAAAGTTGATGGATGCTAACCACTCTTTCTTTTCAATTTAGATTATCTTCGAATTTACAGCACCATTTCAGCTTGTCATCTGTTTATTCACATTATTTTCCTGACACTGGAATTCCAGAAGTGACCACCTGTCATTCCCGAAGTGCCATAACTGTGGATTATATTTTCTATTCTGCTGAAAAGGAAGATGCTGCTGGGCAGCCGGGTAAAGAATGCATGTAATCTTAAGTTCTGCTAGAGAACACAGCAACTAAAATCTCAAGGCTAAAGTTGCAAAAGTTAGCTAAACATCTAGTTGAAGTTCGAGATTTAGAAGTTAAAAATATTTTTAAATTGGTGATATGTTTGATAAATTGGTAATATATTGGAATAAATCAGTTAATTACCTGCAAAAGATGGAGGCAGTAAAACACCTCTAAGCAAATTATATCCTCAGCTCTACCCTCCAATTCCAGTCAGCTGTTGAGTTAGAAGTCTTTCATATTGCCCTTTGGTTTTACTTGCCATAAATTTACTGTTTTCCTGTGACAGCAAGTGAATATATTGTGTTAATGATCATCATATAGTTTTGTGCTTAAATTTTACTAAGGCATGCTGCCTTCATTGTAGTAACATGCTTATACTGCCAATAGACAATTTGTCAGGTTGACCCTGGAATACAGTCATGTGTTGCTTAACGACGAGATACGTTCTGAGAAATGCGTGGTTAGGCGATTTCATCATTGTGCAAACATCACAGAGTGTACTTAGACAAACCTAGATGGTATAGCCTCCTACACACCTAGGCTGTACGGTACTAATTCTTACGGGACCGCCGTTGGATATGTGGTCTGTCATTGACCGAAACGTCATCATGTGGCACGTGACTGTATTGGATCTGAGAAAGAGAAGTCTGTGATATGACTGTGTTTTCAAAAAGCAAAGATGATAAAACATTTTCCTTGTATGATTCAATGAAAATCTGATTTTAGATATTAACTAAAGGATTCAAAGTGAGGAAGAAAATGCAGCTTAATTGGAAGTCAAAAAATACCATTCAGAAAAATGTGGGCAGCTGCTTTATCTTTTCTGATTTTCCCATTTTTTTCTGTGCTCTTTTTATTTTTCCCTTTTTCCATTGTTTGTTTGTTGTTTCCTACTGAGGATAACCTTATTAGTAATACTCAGGAGATGGCTTGCTCCTCCTCACTAGATCAACTCTACAGATTTGAATTTGTAATGGTTCTGGTAGTTGTCATTGCCGTAAACATTCACTAGGTGGCGGGAGTGTGTCATGGACCAGAATCTCAAATGTTAATTAACAAAGAGCATGTCATCTTTTACTCTACTTCTGTGGGTACTGACTCTCTGGGACCAAACTTTACTAATTTATTCTCCAGTCACCTTATAAACTTCCTACTCAGCTGTGGCTGGGTCTGTCTGGTTTTATGCAACTACAAAATAGTTGCTGGATGAATTGCTTATGTAGTTGTTAATATCAAATTACTCTTAGCATTGTTGTATATTACGTTGATATTTTCTTCTAAAGATTATTTGCATAACTTGAAATAGAAATATCTGAAATAGAAAAAAATCTGAAACTGCTGTTTGAGAATTATAATTAAATTATAACTCAGTAAAACTTGAATCACATTCTAAAAACTGACTTCCAGAGGGGTCTCAAGTTCTCTATCATCGTTATTTAGGAAAAAAGACTTATATGATTAATTTACAATAGCCCGTTGACACGGTTTCACTAAATATGTATGTGTTTCTTTAATGTAGGAGCTGAAGTTGCTTTGGTTGGTGGCTTGAAACTTCTGGCTAGACTATCACTTCTTACAGAGCAAGACTTGTGGACCGTGAATGGACTTCCAAATGAAAATAACTCTTCAGACCACCTGCCCTTATTGGCTAAGTTCAGGCTGGAGCTCTGACTCTGCTTTAATTACATATATACTTTTCTTTCCAATTTATATTATTTTTCAAAGACTGTAAAGTTGTTCTTAGAGTTTGCATGTTGTTTATTTTTGTGCTGTGGAGTTTCTGAAGAGGTTCTGTTAAATGCTTGAAACAGATAACAGAAGAAACAAGTTTACAACAATTTTCTTTTTTAATAATGAAAAAATATTTTCCTGACAAGTGAGATCTAAATGCTGTTTGTTGTAAATATTTTTTATTCTAAATCCCAGTAAAATTGACCATGACTTTTAAATATAGTGCATCTTCTTTAGTCTTCTTAGTAAAGAATTTCATTTCATGTTTTTGGCAAGCTTTACAGTGAGTGGATCCAAAGTATCTTTGAGTTCTTGCAAACTACAACTCGTTTCCCTCCAGAGGGCCTGATTTCACTGGGAGAACCATATGCTTATTGCGTCCTAATTAGTTCATCTCAGAAATCATTGAGTCATTCACAGTCATTCACAACCAACCATTTTAGTTTCTTTTTGAGAGGGCTTGATAATGCTTTTTAAAATTGTACAGATTGCTTAATCCACCTTTTTACTATCCTGAGCCATGTAAAATGCCTGCATTTTGTTGGGGAAGGTAGGTCACCGTAACCGGTAGGATGAGGTGCTCTACAGAAGCCCACTCTTTCCATCCTGTGACAGACACCCTCACAGGATGCCTGAGAAAGGCAGAGACTGGGCTATGCCCCTGTTTCCCTAGCAGTTGTTTCTTTTTTCTATTCAGTTTCAAGGAAAGGTCCCTGGGTTGGGGGAGAGATTTTATTTTACTGAACCAATTCTGTAGACATTTATTTTATTAGGAAACTTGTCTTCAGAACAAAAGGGCAGCTATAAGATTATTTTTGTTTTACCTCAGAAGTTTGAGGAAGCCAGCAAATCTGTTGTGGGGAGATACCAACTTGGAGACCTAATACTCTTAAGTAGTAATTTTAACTGTTTTAGTGATTTTGTTTCTAAAATGTTTTGTTTTGCTTTTTAATGATACAGCTGTGTGAGATGGGGCTAACATTTTTTATGAAGTGGTTAAGAGCAGGTCTAATAAATCCTGCAGTTGGCTCTGTATGAGTGTTGGAATCAAAATTTTTAAAACATGAAGAGTGAAAATTTCTTCTTTTTTAGACTTTGGGATCAAGAATTGTGTGCATTTTTATTAAGTAGTGATTTTATATTGAATCATACTGAATTATAAAAGTTTTTACAATGGGTTTTCTTAATAGAAGCTTCAGCTTAAATTAGAAAGCAGTAGTTAACTTTATAGTCTTGGACTTTAAGTTTTTGTATTAAAGCATTTACTACAGTTATTTTTTAAAAAAATAAACCAGATGAATACCCCAAAAAAGGCATGTGTGTTATAAGGATTTGCCTAGTAAAAATTGTAATAAGTACTTTAAAATGTTTAATTTCTCATTTTTTGGGTTTCTACCTATAGTATTAACTATAGTTCTAGGATTTTCCACATTTTCTAGTAAAAGTTTTCAGAATATTATGAAATGTCCTAATTAGCAGATATAGTCATCATTAAGTAATAATGACAGTATAATTATCCCCTTTTAGTTTAGGGGAAAGAAAAATGAAAATCCATTGATTAATTACTGCTTTGTGTTGTGTGAATTTATTAACAAATAACTCTATATATAGGTCATTCTTGACAAACTAACACCTCTGAAAACCTCTGTGAAAAGTTAATTTTTCATATCCTCATTAACATATTGTGATTTTAGGCCCTGTTCATGTGCTCGAAAGAGTTAATCCATAAAATTGCTTTCCACTTTAGCTTACAGAATGAAGTATTATTTTGTGGACTGGAGGCCAAAGGGTCAAGGTAACCTTCTCACAGGTTTTTTAAGCTCCACTAAAACTAATTATCTATTTGTCTCTACTGTTTTTGGTCAGAAGAGTTGGTAACTGTCAGAGCCTTCTATTTACCTTCCGAAAGCAATTAAATCTGGTTAATTGCTGAAACCAAATCTTCAGTCTCAAGTACTATACTATCCAAGTTTTAAATGGAAAGGAATATTGTGGGATAATGAAAGTTTGGTTTTACTATACCTTTTGATATCAAGATAATATGCATGTTTGAAATCTTGTCTTGTTTTGGAATTTAGCAACTGTCTGCTTTTAACCCTTTGCTTTCCTCACAAACTAAGAAATCCAGAGAGTTCAAGGGGTTGGGGAAACAGAGACATCAAGTCATTTGCACTTTGTACCTGTAAATTACCTAATAAATTATTACACTAGTACGTTTGTGCCTGCAGGTTTTGTGGTAGGTGTACTAAGCTGTGTAAGCTGGCCTGTTGCCTCTTCTAAACTATTTCATTACCCTTTTCAGCCTTTATTACTTAGGGTGATGCTAAAATATAAGTGAATTAACATGTGCCACAATAGAGTGATGTTTAGTATAGAGTCTGAAAATTGTAGAAGACAAAGGTGAGAGAGTGACAAATTAGTTTACTAGGACAAGTATGTAATCAGAGGACAAGAAAAAAAAATTATACCATCTTACATTTTTAGAAGAAAACCAGTCCTTAAGTTTCCAGGATGGTTTTATTAAAGTCTCATGCTGTGTATAAACATACAAGTAATGAGAAAGACATTAACTTGAAACATGCACTTATCTGGCATTCTCTAAAATACCATTATACAAGTTCTCATTTACTTAGAAAAATACCCACTAAAACAATCACAGTTCTTTTTAAAGATTTAAAAAAAATGTATTGGCCAGAACAAAGTCCAAGAGAATAAACAAGATTCGGAATTGTATGTCAAAAAAACTGTACAAGGTTGTACATAAAACTATAGCTTACAAAAGCCTCGGGTATAGTAAGAATACTGAATTAAGATTTCCAAAGTTCTATTTACCAATATCTATTAATAAAATCCTTATGAAATAATTGACTTAGAAAAAGTGAAATGCTCATGATTTCAGAGTGTATAGAAAATACTAAATATCACTTTCTGAAGTAAAGTGTACTCAAAACAGCACAATGTGTAGTCTAAAATCAAGATTTCTGTCATTCATTTAAACTTTGCATATATTGCCATAATGGCCTTAAGCATAAAATTTCTCTTGCATTAATAGCTTTTTTAAAGATTAGATTTCACATCATTTCATAGTTTTATTTTTTGTCTTTTGAATTATAGCCAGTTTTAAAATCAATTTTGGGGATAAATCATGTCATATTTTTTTTTCCCTTGCCTTACTATCATTTTAATTAAATTACTGCACTAGAATTTAGAAGTTTGGTGCCTTTTCCATATCTTTTAGAAATTAGCCTAGTCCATAAGCAATAAAAATAGAATGACAACTAAGAACATTTTAAATTAATTTTCATGTTTCTGTGACTAACTCTTGCTTTGGGGAAATGAATCTTAAAATCAAAGAGTAAGTGTGGAAGAAATCAGGTTACTAATTGAATGATCAAGCCAGTTGGCAATTTTAAGGCTTATTCATCAGCATATTAAAAACAGTTTGTATTCCTATTCTTTTCTCCTTTTTTGTGGGAACCAAGAGGCTATGCAACTATTGACATTCTATATTTTAGATGGGACAGTACTTAAGTAATACTTGGAAAATCCTCTTCCAAGCTCTTAGAATGGCTGCAATGTTATTAGTAGTATACTGTTGGATATAATAAAGTTTCAGATTGATAAACAGAAGATATATATATCCATATATATCTTATCTTATATCTCAGAGAGAGAGAGCTAAGTCAGTATTGTTTTAGAATGAGAAGGAAATGATTCACTGACTACCCCAAACATCTAAACACATGTGGCCATGAGGCTGCAAATGGGTTTGTCTTGTGAAGATAAACAAAGATAACTCATTTTAAACTCTGCTAACTGATAATACTATTCTTGAAGTGATTAAGTTCAGAATTTTTAACTTATGCTGTATTTTTATCTAATTGAGATGTACACTTACTTGGTTCCTTTTCATGTACAGGACATCCGACTTCCTTCTTTTTAAAGAAAACGCTACTTTCCATTAATAACATTGATTTTTAGGGTAAAGAGAGCTCATGTGTGCATGGCTGAAGGAAGAAGTCCTTTTCTTTCCATGAGGTTTTATTGGTAAAGAATCTGAGCAGATTCTGATTTTTATACTCCCTTCCTAAAATCACCTTCAGTCAAGGAAAGCCAGAGGGGAAACACGGAGACTGAAATAACTCTTCTGTTGACTGGCAGACTTCACTTACATGTGCCTTTTGGTCTCATGAGTTGGTATGGCTGCTAAGATAAAACAAATGAGATAGAAGCTGTACTCCTGCTTTTGATGACACACAGACTTGGGATGCTGTTAGAGTTATTCTGTGTGGGCTGCAGCCAGAAGTTACACTGTAACTACCATATGCAGGCCAGACACTCATACAGTGCTTCATGCACTAAATCACGCTGTAAGGTATAAAACTGTACCCAAAGACTTTTCCATTTTAAAAAAAGGTTCTGCTTTTCTAATTCATTGCATTTCCCAATACCAGTTCCTCAGTGTCATGAAGTGGTACCTAAAAGCAAGGTATTGGAAAATAATCACATCATGCCACATCTGGTCTTAATATAAGACATCAGACCACATCTCTAACAACAGTGAGTCCTTCAGAATCAAGGCCTGACTCAGTTTAAAAATCAGATGAAATGTGAACAGAAAGGTTATCTGGTTCTCAAGACCTACTGATTCACTCCTGGCCTCTGCCTTTCTGAGTGTTTTTGTCAGAGGTAATCGCAATAACAGCACAGGACCTCTTGTGCTTTTTGCTGGAGTCTGCAAAGTTTAAATGTTAGTGACAGAACGTAGACTAGCTTCTGAACGTGCTTCCTGTTTTGTTTTGAAAGAATAAAAATTGCTATCAGAGAATGCTTTAAGAAAGATTAGGAAAGAAGTAACTGCAAGATCCTGAAAATGGTTTCCTGTATTGCCAGAAGAATTTCAGTGCTTTTTAGTAAAACACTTGCATATAATACCTTAAATCTCATCACATGTGTGCACCAGGAAAAAATTCCAAACTTTGTGAAGATCCCCATGGGAAATATTGGGGAAACAATACAAATAGAATATAAAAAAACCAAAACACCATTAAGTTTGCATATCTGATGCCAAGATGCTGAGGTAATATTGACTGCTTAAAAAAAAAATCCCACCAATCTTTGCCTCTGTTATTGCTGAAAAAGACATTAATACTGATTGAGTTGCCTTACTATATCAAAAGTGGAAGGGAGGATTTCATGAACATTTACTACTGATGAGGCATAATGTTCAAAGCAAGTAAAAGAAAGTAGGTAAATGGAAAAATATAAACTACAGTTACAGTATCATCATTCTGTCTGGAGTGAGGGAGACAGTCCAACCCCAGTGGGGTTTATTACTGTAGGCTTTTTCATGGTTGCCCTTTTGTGAATTTTTTAAAGTTAATTGTTACCACCCACTCAGATTCTACTTCCAAGTGAA